CTTGTATAACAAGACAAGTTTTGTAATGCACAATTTCGTTCTTCTCATTACGCTTCCAAACGAAAACCCAATTATAGCTAACGGGTTTCACATGTGGAAGAGTAAGAGCTACAAGTCCAAACACCTGACTTTTTGTAAACGAATCGAGTTTAACTTGGATTGCTTGTTTCCAGTTTGACCAATCACTTCTACGTCGACATTCATCAACAAAACGGGGTTCAATGTCATCGCTCAACATGATCTCAGTAGCTACTACATATGCTAATGCATCGTTGACGATCATCTCATTTCTACACCAAACATCATCCAAGCTAGCATAATGGATCGAAATCTCACAATTCTCGAGAGGTGGATTGGTCTCTTCAAGGACACTTCCGTAATCTAGAATTTCCTCATTAATTAGATAGAATGAGTAGGTGACAGTCGAATTCACGGTAGGCTCTTCAGGTGCATGTGCCGTCAGTTTTCTTTTTCGGGGGTGTGAATCTTTTGACCTGTGCCGTGGGTTTCCTTTTTTGGGGTATGAATCTTTTGAACCAAGTTGTATGCCGTGCTTATGTGTAAGGGCAGATGATTAGCTAGCCGTTAATGTATGTGGATCGGCCAAAATGGTGTCCCAGGACTCCAATAGGGAAGTCCATCGTACATTTGGTAGATCTATTTTTGCAGGCACATTCGCAACTGGAATATGTGATCTTATCACTTACACTAAATCGGTGAAAGCATCTGGCATGCTTTGAGCTATGCTCTGAAGATCTAATATGCTCTACACTTCAGTTTCAAACTGAGCGGTGTGAGGATCTAAATGAGATAATGTAGGAGTCGTCCACGATAATTTGCGTCGTTCTTCAAGAATGTTGACGTTCTTATCTCCCCTTAACAACAGGAAGATTGTTTCATAGAAGTGACAATACGCAATACGAACGGTAAACAGATAGCTGTCAAAGGTTCTAAGTAATGAATAATTGAAAGAAAATCATATCTGACATAGACTCTGATCCTTCGCTGAGGCCCCATTTTTGTACGTAAAGGCTACGAAATCGGCACATAGACCACACAACAAAAAAGGCGCAGATAAGATATGTCGGGTTCGTATTCGGCAACCAACTGAAGGGCGCTATATGGTTGGGTCGTAACAGGCCTCAGGCAGACTAACATGACTGTGTGTAAAATTGCATAGTCCCAAGCAGCGATCGGGAACTTGGTACGTTTGAGCTTGATAACCTGAGCCAACAATTTGGATAATGTAGTGTTCCTTGTGGACAACAAGCACACATGTGACCAACGAGTGGAAGCGTCAACTAAAACCATAAAATATCTAAATGGTCCACAAGGAGGGTGAATCGGTCCATAAATGTCCTCCTGAATCCTTTGTAGAAAAATAGGAGGATTCTAACCAATCTTGTCATAAGAAGGCTTAATAATAAGTTTTCCCATAGAGTACGTTTGACATGCGATTTCTTAAATCGAACCTAAACTTCAGGTTAGTGGATGTCCGTGTGATGATTCGAGGATACGATGCATCACTATTCGTTCAGAGTGTCCCAAACGATCATGCCAAAGTGTAATTTTGTGTGTGGTCTCAGAGGTAGGGTCGGCCACATAGTGGCTTTCTATAGGGCGTATGGTCATAATATACAGACCACTCAAGATACGTTCAATCTTCTCTAGAATGCGTTTCTGGCATATTCGTAGGAAGTTATTCACAGAAATTCAACTCTGTTTTCTACATATGTTTCAGCATGGTAATTATTATCTTTAATGTCCTTGAAACTCTACAACGTTCTTCCAAAACGTGGAGAATAAAGTGCCACATCAATGATCAAAATTGTACCATTAGACAACATTATACGTGTCTTACCGTATCATTCGATCAGGTTAGATGGGCCTGAGAGGGTTGTCAGAGGTGCATTTTTAGGTATGAAGTTAGTGAAATAGATGGGTTCATGCAAAACGGTGTGTGTGGTTGCAGAATCTGCAAGACAACTAACTTTCCCATAAGTCATACCTAGAAGTAAAATTAATTTGAATTGGTTACATGCATACAAATTCTTAAAACAAATATCCATTCAAAATAATTTAAGTATTCAAGGATGGTAATTAATTGAAACTTAATATCCAAAAACAAATCACCAATAAATAATCCAAATATAAAGGAAAATTGTTCCAAATTAAACCAAAAAACATGGGGAGGGGGGTTCGGCCACCAGGTGGAATTTGGCCCCATTATTCTAAATTTCAACTAGAAAAATAGTTTATGTCTAAGATTCTAATATCTTCCATAGGGGTGGTATCCTCCTGAAAGTCAGAAACTTCCATCTTGGTACTCTCTGGTTCATCCATTTGCACAAAGTTTAATTCAAACTTCTTACGACGACAATGATATTCAACTACAACCTTTTGGGGAGCTCGGAAAACATGGGACTAATGGTTATTTGAACCATAGCGATATCACATGTCTGCATCCATGGTTTCAGGTGCTTTGCCCTTATTCTTGAAGTATAGGGCCTTGGGAGCGAGGTTAGTGAGCTTCTAGGCTCGGTTTCCTCCCTTAAATGAACCTTTGCTCTGTTGACCTTGACGGTGTGGCTTCTGGCCGCCCCTACCACGCTTATTTTGGCGTTTTGGGCGTTTGTTTGTGCTATAATATGCTTCAAGCACAACAATCGCCCAGTAAGTCGAGCTTGATGATTTTTCATCAACAGCTGATTCTGTTTTTCAGTGAGAAGTAAAATAGAGATCAAATCTGAAAACTTAGTGAACTTCTGAGCCCTATATTGTTGCTGCAGGACAATATTAGTAGCAGAGAAAGTCAAATAGGTCTTCTCCAGGGGATCATTTTCAGTCAAAGTTTTGTTAAAGAACTTGAGAAGTGATCGAATTTGACAAACTTCATAATTATATTCATTCACAGACTTAAAGTCTTGGAAGCGTAAATGCTACCAGTTATGACTTGCTTCAGGCAAGAAGATGTCCTTTTGGTGATCAAAGCGATCAACCAAAGCGACCCAGAGTGCTCGTGAATCTTCCTCGGCAAGGTACTTGGTTTGCAGTGTGTCATGAATATGTCTTCGGATGAAGATCATGGCAGTGACTTTCTTAGCTTCACCAACCGGGTTGTCCGTCTCATCTTCAATGGTGGGACACAAATTCTTTACGGTGAGGTAGAGCTTCACATCTTGGACCTACTGGAGGTAGTTCCTTCTAGAGACCTCTAAAGCGGTGAAGTCGAGTTTGTTCAAAATCGACATGTTCTTATCACAAAATAAATGGACAAGATGTGGTTAGTGTAATGGAGAAAAAATCAATCCATTGACATATGATTAGAACATTCAGGTTCTAATAGACATGTATTGGTTTAAATTTTCATGAAAAAGCTTCGGGTTTTCATGGGTGATGTTTTTAAGGAAAACCTCAGGTTTTCAAACAAGGCATGTTTCTAGAAACTTTAAATAATTATGAACTTCAGGTTCATATGTTCTTGCAGGCAAACATAAATATATATACATAAATATGTAACAAGAAAATATGCAAATAGAACTTCAGGTTTATAATTATAGTTGAATTAATTATTTGGACTTCGGGCCAAATTTAAAGTGTGGGTGAAAAATTATAAAACCCAAAAAGTACCTTAAAATTAGGCAATTGAAACTCAGGGTCCAAAAATAAGAACCGTAAACCCACGGGTAGGTTGAGCAAATTTGTATCGTGGTCTAGGCCAAAAAACTGGGCTTAGATAGACAAGGGTTGATCAAGCCCTAAACAGAATTTGGGCTGCAAGCCTAATAGCAGCAAACGAGCTGCAAGAACCTGGTCCAAGAATGGAGGCTCAGATGGGCACTGATTAGATGCAGCACGATGCAGGTGCATCGATGCATCAACTGCAGGCTGGGATCCCGTGTATGCGGAACATGGATGCACCAGCACGGGGCTGAAATTCGATGCATCGCAAGCATGTGGGACACCATAACCCTTTGGCTGATGTCACGTGTTGGGTCGAGCCATGTTGTTGGGCCGCTTCAGGCGAGCCCAATATGGGCTTCGGGTTTTGGTGTCCAAAACAACCCAGCGTGTGTTGGGTAGCTTCGTTGGAGAAGCAAACCGGGGCCACTACTGCGGGCAGTTGAGTTTTGGGTTGAAAACGATAGTGCAAGTCCATGAGTTTGATGGGGAACAAATCCAAGTGATGGAGAAAAGGTTTCTCGATTGAGGAATTTAGAACCAAAGATTCAAAAAAAAAAAAAAATCGAAGGAATTCTTCTAGAATTCTGTTCAATTGTTGTCTAGAATTCAAGTCATGGTTGCCCAGAAAAGAAGATAGCAAGGCCATGGCTTGTGACGGCAATGGGGGTTTTCTGGGTTTTGGGATGACGCCAAGAATGGCGTCTTTGGTTTGTTTATAGGGGTAGAGCTTCTGGCTCCACAGGGTTGGCTCGAGTCTTGGGTTCGAATAACCCTAAAAGAATCATCTTTTATTTTATTTTATTTTTTTCAATTAGTTCAATGCATATGTATTCAAATAAATTAATGCATGGACATATATTTGATGCAATTCATGGCAATATCAAATTCAAATAATTCAACAATTATGGATATAATGCATACACAATTTATGTAAATCTAAAATTCGAAAAACGTAAAGTTTGATCATGCATTATGGTGAATGGTCATGCTATCAGAGCTGCAAAAATATTGAGATAAAAATCGTTGTTTTGGAAGAACCTATTGAGTGATGATATTGGTGAACTGGTTTAATGCAGAAAGCTTCCACGTCAGATTCCTCAGCGCAGTGGTAGGAGTGTGTTGATAACGTTTTGTGGCCTATATTTAACTGACAGAGGAAGGGGGCCGGTGGCACAGAGAGAATATAGAGAGAGATGTGTTTGTAGGGTTGTGTGGAGGATGTTGTTATTTCCCCTACGCGCCTTTATTTATAGTAATAACAAAGATAAGAAATCATTCTCCTCCAAGGAATACAAGTCCTAATATGAAAGAATAACTAGAATCAAATTTAATCTAGGATTTAAACAATCATACTTAAACAAGAAGTTTATAACAATTATTTATAATACAGATCTATCTAATGTTATAACTAATTAATAGCCATATTAAGCTGGCACATCATATATTCATATGATTTAGCTAAAATCTCACTCCCCTAACATCGTTACATGAAAAACGACCCCAATTTTCTAGTTTTGTTCAATGTACACAGGTCACCGGGGAAATACGATTGATTTATTTGTTTGGTGGAGTACTTCTCAAACCTGATCCCATATTATTTCCGCAGGCTCGAATTCGCAGTCCCAAAAGCAATCTTGCCGTAATTCTTGGTCGCTGGTAGATCCATTGACAAATGTATTAAGCTTTTCAGTTATTCTTGCAGCCCCAAAATCCAACATAGAGTTGTCCATCTACATGAAATGAAAGCCAAATTAGTACTCCAAATAAAGATCCAAAAGTACTGAATCATATCAAATATATTTTCTTGAGATGCAAACGGAGAAAAATTCAGTTAACTTTCCATACCTCTGCGCGTACTACATGAAATACAGTGTCTCCCAAAGTTGAAAAGCTAGCATGCACGATGTCCGCCTGTTCTTCGTCAAGTATGCGAATAATTTGGTAGAAGATGAACTGATGATTCTCTAAGCCACTAGTCAGTACTACCTCAACTGTGGATCCTGTCTCATGGATTTGGATTTGGGGTGCTTTTGTGCTCCTTACGCTCTCAATGTTTAAGGTTTTTGGTTCCATGCTCTCAACGTTTACGAATGCTGTAGCATTTGATCTTTTTCTAGTGCCCATTAAGCTCTCTTTCTTCTCCTTTGCTTTCTGCAGCTTCGACTCTTTGCTTTTTATGTAGTTGATGGCCTCATCTGTTTGTTCGTTCAGACTCGGTGGCTCCTGCATAACATCAAACATCACATTCAACATTAGCCATGAATTAACCTAATCAATGGCTCAGATTCTCAGTCCGACAAAGATAGTGTCACAGAGAGAGAGAGAGAGAGAGAGAGAGACCTTAGGATTTTGGTTAGGGAGGAGAGAGTAGAGCTTGGAGTAAAGAAGTTTCAAATGATTTCTCCTGTTCTTCTCTACAACCCTCCTTTCAACTTTGGTTGAAGAAGATTGACTTGCTTGGTTATTATTCATTTGAACTTTCTCTGGCAAGTTGGCCACAGAGATTCCCATGAAACAACTTCCAGTTAGCGCTGCTACTCTCTTATAATTGCAAAAGGTAGATAGGGGGTTGGTATAGGTGTGATCATGGTATGTGGTTGATATAGGTGTGATCATGGTATGTATTTATACATATGGTAAATTACAGTTTGTAATCTCAAGTTTATGTATAATTGCAACCTCATGTCTCATCTTTTAAGTGTTGCAATATCATACACAAACTTACAACTACATTGTAATGCCACGTACATCTATATTTTTCATGGAGTAATGCTATTCTTACTACATTTTTATACCATATTTTTTACCATCTTAGGTGGCAGATGAGTTGGACAAGTTACATCATTTAATTTCAATCTTTTTATTAATTAAAACACTTAAATAATCTTAGGTGAAAGAAGGAGACTACTCATATATCACAATCATCATTTAATTAACATTCTTTTTATTAATTATTGATTAACATTTTGAAATTAATGCTAATTATTTTAGATGATTTGGATGTCCACATCAGCTGTCATGTCATCAATTAACGAAAAAAATTTCACGTTGCCATGTCATCAATTAGTTATAAGTTTGATGAAATTTGTAACGCATGTATGACATTGCAATGAATTTGTAAGTTTGTGCATGACATAACATTACAACGTTTTAAAAATAAAATATGAGATTGCAAAATCCAAACTTAAATGAAAAAGGAAGATGACAAGTCTGTCCTCTGTGGACTGTAATGATTTGCAAAAGGAAATGAAAGAGTGGGTCAGCGAGACTGTTACTCGTCCAAGAAGTCAGAAAGCCAGCCGTCAGGTTTGAATTTTCTATTGTAATGTTGTCACGTGGCTTTATTAGCATCTTGCATTTCTTTTCAAAAAGAACCCCCTGCGGCCCTCCTCCTTTAACCCCATAAGCCTATTTTAAGGTGGCTATTAGACCTAACATGTGTTTTTCATGTTCATATTGTTTTTTGTCATATCAAATATCTTAACGGATCGTGTCGTGTAACACCCGTTAAAATAAATAGGTAAAATGACCCGACCCGAATTTGACTCGATAATATTAACAGGTAATATAACCCGACCCGTTACCAGTTAAATAAAATATATTTTAAACCAATAAATAATAAAATAAAAAACATAATACTAAATAAGTATATATACCATATTGTCATGTCCAAAACATAAAGAGTGGTGTTATTCCCACCCCAATGTCTTATCTTTCCACCCACCTTTTTATAAATTTTTTAATTACAAATTTGTCCATTTGTAAAATGACTTAGTTACCCCCTTTTACATTACTTTTTTTTATATAAAAAAAGAAAAAAAAAGTTTGGGAGTGATAACTCTTTTAGAAAATTTATCTCCCTTAAACCCTAACTCATCATTCTCATCTCCTTTCAGTCAGAGAAAGCAAAAAGAATGAACTTAGAAGATGACGTTTCTATGGAAGAAGTCAATGATTATGTCTCCGTCGAAAAGGTAAAAAATAATTTTATGTGGATCATCTTGATTTGTCGACATGTATAGCTCTGTGCTCTGTGACTTTTATCTGAATTTGCATTAGGTTAGGGTGCAATTTGTTTCACGTTTTCATATGAGATTCCTGGAAAATTGGAATTTGTTTTCATTAGGTTAGGGTAAATTTGTTTACAGAAGCCAATTCCCATATAAAGTGGAGGGTCCAGCGAGGCAATAGCGAGGGCGGGGGAAGTTCCACCAGCGGCGTCACAATCTTGATGGCGCTGTTGCATTGCAGTGACGACCGTGATTCGTCTCTCTCTACTGCTGCTGTTATTCCTTTTTGCTGACAGCTCGCCGTTGCTTGGCGAGGTGGTTCTGCTGCTACTGTATCCGAGCGGCGGCGCGTAGGTTAGATGACGAACCATCTCCGGTGTTGTCATATTAGCGAGGGGTAAAAACTGGAACCATGGAATCCCTAGGTGGCAATAAACAGAGTCAAGTTCTTACCCTATATTGTTGTTCCTTCAACTGCTCAGTTTTCAAGCCATGAGCAGTATTCTTGTTCCTACCGGCATCACCATTGTTGTCCTTGTGACAGTTTCTGTGTTTCTTATGATCTTTATCCTTGTATCTGTGCTTTTTATGCTTCCTCTCATTTTTATCATCCTTACTTTTTGACTTCACTATAATGAGTATGGATCCCCTTCTCTGCCTATCAAAACCATGCAAAAATGGCTTATATCCTAGAATTTAAAAGACCAAACAAACCCTCTGACCAAACTAAGCAAACACGTATGTTGGAAATGACTTACAGAAGGCAATTTAACAGAAGTTGTTTCCCTTAATAGAAAAGCTTCACGAACGTATATCTAAATCAAAGGGATGTAGTAGTGTCCACTTTTTTTCTCTCATATAAAGGTTGTTTTGAACTAGCATTCAGAAAGACAAAAATGTTCATCTCAAAAACATTGGGGGTTATGGTCGATCATGTTGGGAAAAGCTTACTGTTGTCTTCTATTGTGCATACTGTTGTTTTTTCATTTTATGTTGTTTTTTCATTTTATATTGGGAAAAGCATGGGGGTTAAGGTTGTTTTTTCATTTTATGTTGTGCATACTGTTGTCTTCTGTTTGGTCGATATATACATCATGTTGGGAAAAGCATTCTTGCCATATCTGGGGTTTATTATTTTCTGAGTTAATTGGTACTATTTTCAACTTGATGTAATACCCATTTATTTACGTATGGTGGAATTCGTTTGCAGTTGGTAGACGAATCTGGTAATAATTTAGCATCTACACATATGGTGGACTGGACTAGTGAATTTACTACAAATAAGGTAATATTTGCTTAACTTCTCAATTGATTCACTTATACTCTTGTATGTTTATTCATAATGTGCAATTTTGGTACATAGTTATTCAAGAGTAGAGAAGAATTAATACAATGGGCTCGAGAAATTGGGAAGGTCAATGGTTTTGTTATTGTGACGTTACGATCCGATCAAGGTGGAAAAGATAACAGGAGCCCTAAACTTACATTGGGTTGTGAAAGGAGTGGACAATATGTAAGTCGAATTCACAAAAAAGACATAAAGGATGAGGATAGAAGGAATTCTGGAACGAAAAAATGTGGATGCCCATTTCAATTAAAAGGTAAAAAGCTAGCAACTGATGATGATTGGATATTGACGGTAGTTATTGGAGTGCATAATCACACAGCAGCAGGCCATTTGGAGGGTCATTCATTTGCTGGTAGATTATCATTTGAAGAGACTTCGTTATTGACTGATATGTCTAAAAGTTTGGTGCAACCAAAGGAGATTTTAACTACATTAAAACGAAGAGACGAACGAAACGTATCTACACTGAGGACAATTTATAATGCACGTCAACGTTTGAGACTTTTGGAGAAAGGTGGGAGGTCCCAAATGCAACAATTGATGAGTAAGCTATCTGAGCATAGGTACACTGAGTGGCATAGGAGTTGCCCAAAGACTAATACTATTTTCGACTTGTTTTGGACACACCCGACTTGTTTGGAATTGTTACATGCATTTCCACATATTTTGATTATGGATTGTACGTATAAGACCAATAGGTATCGTATGCCATTGTTAGAAATTGTTGGAGTTACGTCAACTGATATGACATTTTCTGTTGGTTTTGTTTATCTTTCTGCGGAACGAGAAGATAATTACGTTTGGGCCTTGAGTATATTGCGAGGACTCATGAATGGTATTGTTACACCTGATGTTATTGTGACAGATAGAGAAATGGCTTTGATGAAGGCCATTGAACTTATATTTGGTACAAGTAAGCATTTATTATGTAGATGGCACATCAATAAGAATGTGCTAGCCAAGTTCAAAAAATTATATAAGTCCAAGGAAGATTGCGATAGATTTTTGGAGAAATGGAATACAATGGTTGCATCTTCTACTGAAGTCGACTTCATAAGGCAGACAAGACAACTATGCAATGAGTTCAGTATGTATCAAGAGATGCTTCAATATGTTATAGATACTTGGTTGAATCCATATAAAGAAAGGTTTGTTGCAGCATGGATCGATAAATTTATGCACTTGGGGAATACAACCTCAAATAGGTAAGCATTTATCACTTGTTACTTTATTTCATTTTCATTTTCTATTGAGATTGCTAAACCCTTGTTACCTTAATAGGGCTGAGTCTTCACATGCCAAATTAAAAAGATATCTTGGAAGTAGCCAAGGAACATTTGAGACATCATGGGAAAGTATACATGCTCTGCTTGGGTTGCAGCACACTGAAATCAAGGCTTCTTTTGAGAAAAGTTTGATAGTGGTGCATCATGATTTTAGACATTCAGATTTCATGGAACTTCGTGGCTTTGTCTCAATTAATGCACTATATATGGTCCTAAAAGAGTACGAGTTGTCCAAAATGAACAATATTGACTCCGAGGCATGTGGACATTGCGGTTTCAGAGCAATTGCATCATTATTGGGTTATAATGATGATGGATGGGTACAAGTGCGAAAAGATTTATTACAAGAGTTAGAGACTTACTCAAGTTCCTACTCCAAGCTATATGGGTCTCAAAATAGGGTCCATGAGTTGAAGCCTGCATTGAGATATTTTGAAACTCACGCAAACATTGATCGGTGGATGACTATGCCTGACATGGGCCATATTATTGCATCATGTTATGGTGTGGTACTTATCCACCTATCAGATGTACAATGTCTTACATTTTTACCTCTTAGAACAGAACCTATACCACTAGCAGCACGTAAGGAGATCGCCATTGGATTCACCAATCATCATTTTGTGCAAGTATGTATATAAGGATTTATTGTTGGAAATTTTTGCAGGTGATCTTATAAGGATTGAATGCATTTACTTTAAGTTATAAATTTCTTGCAGTCTAATTTAATTAAGTTGTACTTTTATGCAGGTGTTCTTGAAATCAGGTCATCTAATTCCTCCTATAGCGACAAATTGGGAAAGATACTGTGAACCATGGAGTTTAGAATGGGCTACTCCCTACATTGATCGTATACAACATTTCAAACTCATTGTAGGGTCTACTGTTATAACTAGAGAGATCGTGGAGCTTGACGAAAATTGAAGCTGGTAAGTAGCGCCACCGTGCTT